CTCTCTCTCTCTCTCTCTCTCTCTCTCTCTCTCTCTCTCTCTCTCTCCTCTGAGCACCCACACCTTTCATACTGACCAACGAATCCCATCCTGCCTTGGGCACTTATTCTGTGTCTGTCTCTTATATTGGCTGACATTCGCCACCAGTGTAGACTTGTATAAATAACATCACTTCTTGGAGCCTTAGTTTCCTTATTTGTAAGATGAGGGGGTCAGACTTGAGACCTCTCAGGTACTTTCCTTCCTCCCAAACTCCTCACACTCTCATCCAGCCCTAACCCCAAGTACCTCCCCTCTGTGCCCCATTCCTGCTGATCTTGAAGATGCTAGCAGATAACTTAGGAGCCAAGAGATAAATAGGATGCTTGCCAAAGGGGTGACGGGAAGAACACGGGGTCCAAGCTCCTTCTCTGCCACTTGCTAGCTCTTTGACCTTGGTTGAATCACTTCTTTCCAATGGGACTCTGTTTCCCCTTCTGTAAAACAAGGGAGTTATTGGTCATACTTCACGATCTCTAAGTTTTCTTCCATGTTCGATATTCAATTTTTTAGAGGGCTGGGGAGAGGGTGGAGGTTGTGGAAGATGGAAACCACTAGAGCTGCCACCAGGTATTTGGAAGGCTGTCCTTAGATTGTCCTGACCAGGAGTAATGCAAGCCAGCCAAAGTTAGAATGAGCCTCCTTGGAAGGCGGTGGATGTCTGGAGGTGAGGGATGGGGGCCACTTGCCAGGTATCTTGTAATGGGGTTTCTTTATCAGGTAGAGGTTGATGGAATCCCAACCCCTAGCCCATTGTTGATGGTCTCTATCCATTATGAGCCATTCATCTATTTCAGAGCTGCACTTCCAAAAGCAGAATTAATGACTGTGAATTTGGGGCCTTTCAATCTTCAGCATCAGCCCACGGGCCTGGAGTAGCAGCACTGATTTGGAGGTGGAAGGGACCTTGGAGGCCATTTAGACCAACACTTCCATTTTTTAGACGAGGGAACTGCAGCCCCAAGAGGCTAAGGGTCAGAGTCATGTGGGTAACAAGGGACCGAGCCTGGGCTTGAACCCAGCTCCTCTGATTCTAAAATCATGCTCTGCTATCCCATGCTTTCATTCCAGAGTCTGAGGGCTTGACTTCTTTGTGATTCCAGGGTAATTGACGCCTGCAGGATTAGATTAAAAACTGGGGTAGCCAATGATTAAGGGATTAGGGACCCATAGAAATGGCGGAGGCTTCGGAAGTCCACCACGGGGCTCAGACTCAGAATCAGTAGGAATCGTGACAGAGGCCAAGGAACATGTGTCCGGAGAATCTTCATGGAAGACTGCTAGAGATTGCTGTGTTCCCTGGTCTTCTCCCAAGCCCGGCGCTTCAAGGTCCAAAGGAAGGAGGCCAAGTCAAAAACAAGACAGAGGAGAAGTGAGAAGCCCAGAGACAGGCAAGGAAATAGTCGAGCCCTAAATACCCCAGTTAGCAAAGGGGCTTGTCATTGTTCAGTCATGTCTGACTCTGTGGCCCCGTTTGGAGTTTTGGGGGGATTTTGGCAGAGATACTGGAGTGGTTTGCATTTCCTTCTCCAGCTCATTTTACAGAGGAGGCAAACAGGTTCAGTGACTTGCCCAGGGTCAAACAGCTGGTAAGTGTTTAAGGCTGGATTTGAACTCAGGAAGATGAGTCTTCCCAACTTAAGACCTGCCCTCTATCCACTGTACCACCTAGCACTTATGAGGAAAGTGCTTTATAAACCCAAAGCATTTTACAAATGGATCATTATTATTATTATTATCATTATTGTTGCTGAAAGCAAAGCTGAATATGGACCTGGGAGGCTGGAAGGCGATGTAAAGAGCAACGAGGCAGATGGACACCTAAATGAGAACCCCATCTTAACATACCTGTTGGGACAACAGCCCCTGCTGGAACACAAGGCCAGACCTTAGCTTGGCCATCCATTGCTCTTCCTAGCGACCAGCACAATCCCTGGCACAGGGAAGGTGTATAATAATTGCTGGTTGTTGCCTCACCCATAAAATGGGTGAGGCCCTTTATGCTGTAACAGTTCATGAGCCTATAAACCTCACTAGATGGAGAACTCTGCTACCTACAATTGCTGGACAGCTCTAATTGTCCCACTGGGCTGAAATCCTCAATGCCTGCCGTGCCTGCAGGCATCAGGCAGGGGTGACTCCCTTCCTCTCCAACTGAAGTGAGAGTGAATCGGCTGCTGTGTGACCACAGGCAAGTCATCTGGGCCTCAGTTTCCTCACCTGTTAAATGGGAGGGATAGGGTTGAACTGAATCATCTCTCAGGGCTAAAATCCAGGTTCAGTACTAATCTTTCCATTGTTTGGAGGGCTGGTGTGTGTTCTCAAGCTGTGAATTCCCCTCAGCCCAGCACCAAGTGCTGTTGTCTTCTCTCCCCATCCTCTGGGGATCTGGAGGCACTCAAAACCAGCCATCTTCACTCTTCCTGGGGGGAACCTCAGACCCAAGTGGGCTTTTCCCTACACCTGCAACTCATTAACCCACCTGCCCCAAGGGAAATACTTCACATTCCCCAGCTGGAAGGACCCAGAAACACTTAGCCAGACACTTTTATGGTTAACCTTTTGGGAAAGGGAAGGGTGCAGAGATCAGAGACAGAATCACAGTGTGAGAAGACAAAATGTCAGAGCTCTGACAGGGTCTTTGAGCAAATGTAGGATGTCACAGAGCACCGGGCTCAGAATCACAAAGACTCCTCTTCCTGAGTTCAAATCCAGCCTCAGACACTGACCAACTGTGTGACCCTGGGCGAGTCACTTCACTCTGTTTGCCTCAGTTTCCTCATCTGTAAAATGAGCTGGAGAAGAAAATGGCAAACCACTCCAGTGTCTCTGTCAAGAAAAACCCAATAGGGTCACAGAGAGTTGGACGCAACTGAAATGACTGAACAACAACAAGGCGTCTGAACTAGAAGGGACATTAGAACGTGGAATGTCAGAACCTTTGACATAATTTAGTAAAATATCCTCCTTTTACAAATAGGGAAACTGAGGCCCAAGTTAGGGAAGTGACTTGCTGAAAACCACAAAGCAAGTTTGTGGCAGGAGTAAGGTCGGGTTCCAGATTTCCAGAGTCATGGTTCCGGGTTCTTCCTCAATGTCATGTGTAGATGGGTGTAATCTGGGAAGTGCCAAGTTCCAACAGGGTGGTGGGTCATGTGTCTTCTTGTTCAGCACGAGGAATCAGTGGTCCTTACCTCATTTCAGCTCAAGAGGCATTTATTAAGCAACTATTCATGTGCTCAGTGCTGGGGATCCATGGGGGAAAACAGTCTTTACTCTCAGCGGAAGTCCCTGCTATACGGACCAGGGGACCCACCAGTAAAAGGAAAAAAAATCAATAGAGCGCAAGGTTCAAAGGAATTGGGCTACTCACCAGTGGAATGTCCTCAGTAAAGCCTCCTTTCTAGGCCTCTGCCAACTCTGACATTCCATGTTCTAAGAACCCTCCCAGCTCTGACCTTCCCTGTTCTAAACCCTGACCTTCCCTGTTCTAAGGCCGCTCCCAGCCCTGACATTCCCTGTTCTAAGGCCCCTCCCAGTCCTGACATTCCATGTTCTAAGAACCCTCCCAGCTCTGACCTTCCCTGTTCTAAGCTCTGACATCCCCTGTTCTAAGGCCCCTCCCAACCCTGATATTCCTTGTTCTAAGGCCCCTCCCAGCCCTGACATTCCCTATTCCCAGGCCCCTCTCAGCTACTACATTCTGTATTCTAAGCCCTTCCATACTGAGTCTGAAAATACTGATTCTGAAAAAAAATTTCCATACTGATTCTCCTTTGCTGTCTCTATCAAACTGTTAGCTCCATGATGGAGAGAACTATGTTTTTCTCCATCCCCTCAGACACGACTTATATTCCAGGCCTTGGGGAAAGGAGTTATTCAGATAAAATCTGATGGTTTGTTGTGGGTTGACTTGTGGGCCAACCTCATTGTCCTGCATCCTTCCTGTGCTCCCCCTTCCTTCCCGGGCCAAGGAGCCTGCTCTGTTCAGGCTTTCCCTGGTGAGGGGTTTGCTAGCTGGGTCTGTCCATTCCAGGTCAGTGACAGTGCCCAGGCCCCACCTCTTCTAACTCAACTTCCATTCACCCTAAAGTTCTAGTACCTGATAACAGTCAAACACTGGTTTGACTTTTACAACAGCCTTGTGAAATAGGGAGGGCTGAGATGATTCTCCTCAATTTACAGATGAGGAAACTGAGGCTGAGAGATGTGACCTGTCGCAGGTCTTCTTCTTCTACCTGTTTTGTCTCCTGGGGATTGGTGGGGGGAGAATGAGGAGACATAGTAGGGAAGTGGGGTCATAGAGACTCTGAAATCTACCCCCCCCAGGGTAGCTGCTTCTATGTAAGGCCGCCCCAGCATCCAGGCACCAATAAAAACCAATCCCTCTCATCTCTATTGCATTCTAGTTTACATTATTTTCAGATCCATTATCTCATTTGATACTCCTAATATCCATTAGAGGTCTATAGGACAGGGATTAGGAGTCCCGTTTTTCAGATGTGGAAAAAACAAGAGAGATGAAAGCATTTGGCCAAGGTCACACACCCGGTCAGGGGGTCCATTGAGGATCCAAACTCAAGTCTTACTGGACCCAAGCCCAAGCATAAGGTCCTCCTGACTCCTGTTAGCCTTTGCTAAAAGTCTCTGGACAGCGACAGAAGCCAGTCTGGGCTTGAACTCCTCCATCTGGGTTCCTGGTCAGCCTCCACCTGGCTGCCTACTGCAACGGAGCATCTAAAGAGAGATGTTGGTTTAGGCCGGGCTGTCAGTCACAGGCCACGGGCATCAATGCTCTCATAGCTGGGTGGGGGGCTGACCCAGGCTGTGCCTTGGTTTCCCCACATCTCTGGCTGAGGAGGAACAAGGAGCGCCCCATCAGATATGCTTCGGGTCAGTCCTACTGGTCTCCCGCCATTGATTCTGCTGTACGGGGGTGGTCCATTCTCTTCCTCCTCTTCTGGGACAGGAGGGCTGCACGTCATTGCCATCTCATAGGTGGGGACTGAGGTAGACGACCAGCTACTAAGAAAGGGGAGCAAAATGATAGGGTGTCAGCGGAATCTGGAGAAAAGAGGGGGACAGAGCTGGAGTTGTAATAATACTCTCATATTTCTATGGCCTTTTTACAAAGTAATATAAGCATCATTGTCCTCGAGGCCCAAGTCTCCGAGAGAAAAACGACTTGTCCACCAGCGCACAGCTTTGTAGGGAAGAGTATCATAAATACTGAGCCAGAAGGGATGGTAGATGTCATGGACTCCAACACCTTCATTTTACAGGTGGGGAAACTGAGGCCCAGAGAGGCTGAGTGATTTGCCCATAGTGGCACAGTTAGTATCTAAGATAAGATTCGAATTCAAGTCTTCCAAGTCTAGTGCTCTTTCCGCTCGCTAACCTAAATATTCCTGTAGTAACCTAAGGCTAACAAAGCTCTTTTAAGGATCTGCATCCATCTAGGAGAGGTTGTTGGGGAATGAGCCCTTCCTCCCCTCCTGCATTAATCCTACTGAGCCCAGTGTCTGGCATGTAGTAAGCACTAACCCTTCTTTCTGTTTGGCTGACTTTGGAGTCCCTCCTCCTTCAGGAACTCTAGGAAAATGAGGAGTGGGAAAAGGAAGGCTCTTCTATTAAGCAGCTGGGTGACCTTAGGGAAGTCCCTTTCCTTATGAGCCTCATTTTCGTCCTCTATAGAATACAAGGGATGGGTGTGATGAGGTCCCTTCCCTATCTAGACTCCCCGCTCTGTCTCCTCTTGCTCTGCCCCAAGAAACACCAGAACTTTACAATTTATTCAACAAAAGAAGGCCATGACCTGGGTTCCCATTTGCCCGAGTGAGCGTAAGTCATCCCCTAATTGTTTCTTAGGTGAGAGTCTAATCTCTACGACTAGCCTGGCACGGGTTGGTAGGGGCTGTGGCTCTTCTCTGTATGCTCCATGGTGCCCATATAGGCCTGGGCACACAGGGGGTTGGGACAGGGCTTTTTGGCTCTTCACCAGCGCCATAGACTTTTAGATCTGGAAAGGACCTAGACAGTGAGTGTGGTAGTAAGCCAAGAAGTTTGGATTGGGAGTTTACCAGCCTGGCTTCTGGTCCCTGGTCTGTCACCAACACTCTGTACAAGCTATTCATGATCACTCTTAGAGAGTGTTAAGTAGGGGGTAACATGGTCTCCCCTTCACTTGAGGAACAACTTTAATAGCTGAGTGGAGGATGGACCAGAGTGGGGAGAGACTGGAGGAGGCACACCCAACAGAGGCTATGATAATAGCCCAGGTGTGAGGGGATGGGGGTCTGCACCAGGGTGGGGGCAGTATCAAAGGAGAGAAGGGGGCATAGAGGAGAGAGATTACAAAGGTAGAATCAACAGGCCTGGGTGACAGATTGGAAATGGGGGGTGGGGCAGGGCGGGAGTGAGACAGTGAGGAATCCAGGATGACTCCTAGGTTGGGAGCCTGGGTGACAAGGAGGATGGTGGTGCCCTCATCAATAATATCTCCCTTTAAATCCCAACTTAAATCCCTTCTTTTACTGGAAGCCTTCCCCAACCCTTTCTAATTCCAGTGCCCTCCCTCTGTTAATTATTTCCTATTTATCCTGTATATAGCTTGGTTTGTATATATCTGTTTTCATGTTGTCTTCCCATTAGACTGTAAGCTCCTTGAGGGCAGGGACTTGTCTTTTGCCTCTTTTTGTGTCCCTAGCACTTAGCACAGTGCCTGGCACATAACAGGTGCTTGGTCAATGTTTACTGATTGATTAATTGATTGAAGTTAGGAAGAGGGAAGGGCTTGAGGAGAGAGATAATGAGTTTGGTTTGGGGCATGCTGAGTTTAGATGGGACCTCCAATATGAAACATGCAATCAGTACTTTGTGATGTGGAACTGGAAGTCAGGAGATATACACAGATCTGAGAGACGTCTTCACGGAAAGGGTCACTGAAGCCATGGGAGCTGATGAGATTGCTGAGAAGGTCCAGGCAGAGCCTTTGGGGACACCCAGAGTTAATGGGCATGGCCCAGATGAAGAGCCAGGAGAGAGCCACGCCACGAGGTCACAGAGAAGATGCAGGGGAGAAGAGGGTCAGCAGGATGGGATGCTGCAGAGACTTTAGGAAGGATGAGACCTGGGAAAAGGCCGTGGGATTGGGCAATGAACGACTGGTGACTCTGGAGAAGGAAGCTTCATTCAAATGATGAGGTGGGTGAGCTTTTCAGAGGGGTTAGAAGAGTAAGTGAATGCAACGCAGGGTGTCGACAGCTTTTTCAAGAATGAACGAATTAGTATTAACTGCTTACCATGTGCCAAGTGCTGCAGACTCAAATATGAAAATAGGACGGGAGTTTAGCTGAGGGGAGGAGAGAAGCAGGGGGATTGCTAGGACCTTGGGAGGGTTTTTTCATGGCCTGGGGACAGGCATGTTTCTAGACAAAAGGAAGGAAATCAATACATAGGGAAAGACTGAAGAGAAAGAGAAACAGACATACAGAGAAAGACAGAGAGAGAATAACTATACATGAGATTCAGTCCCATTACAAGAATAAAGTACAGCCAACCTCTGGCATCGGGGTAACCAGATGGTCTCAGATATCCCTTCCTGGTGCAAATCCTGCTTCTGGTTCTTCTCTCTTTATCCCTTTTTAATAAATGAGGAAGTTGGACTAAGTGATCTCTGCTATCTCTTCTAGATCTAAACTGTGGCCCGGAGAGGCGGGGAACTACGGCTGTGGAATGCAACATATCTTGTTAGATGGTTTGGCTGAATTGTCTTGGGTTGGGTGGGTGATCTGGGAGTCATCTGCATGGAGATGATAACTGAATGCATAGGAACTGATGAGGCCACTGAAGGCAGAGGGAAAAGGTAAGAGGGGGCAGCACAGAGACTTGGGGTCTCCCAGTTAATAGACATGGAGCAAAGGAGTCTAAGAAGGATGGGAATACTTATAGACTCGAAAGTGAGGGAATGAGGGAGTTGTCTGAAGAGACCAGTGTGGATCCAAAAAAGAACTCTCCAACCAACTGAGGGTTTAAAAATACATCCTCATTTTTTTAAGACAGAACTTACATAAGCAAAGACAAGCAACAGAGTCTGAATCCACAGTCCAGTCCTGTAAGAATAGTGTCTGGGTGTCAAAGCTGAGAATGGGCTGAGGCTGGCAGAGGATGCTAAGGACAATGACAAAGGTTTGGGTCTTTGTTGGTCAGATCGTAGAAAAGAGAAAGACGAAAGACAGGACAGGCTCTTGGATGTAGTGGTGAGGTGAACAGAATGATAACTCAGAACAGAAGACAGAGCTACTCTGTTGAAGTTTTTTCTGTTTTCTTTCCCAAGAAAAATCATCTTTGGATTAGAAAAGGTCGAGAAAAAGGGCTAGCAGGGAAGCCTGCAATAAAAGTGCTAGCTGCACTTTAGAGTCACCAGGCCAGAGGAATGACAGTGAAGAGTCCTGGAAGGACAGATGGATGTGATTTCAGAGCTACTCTCAGTGATGTCTGAAAGGTCATGGGGAACGGGGGAGATGTTCCCAGATCGCAGAAGGTCAAATGCTAGCCTGGTTTTCCATTGGAAAGGACAGTGTAATCTACAAACCACAGACCAGAAAACTCAACTTCAAATCCTGGCAAAACTTCAGAACCTATTACTAAATGGATGGTTAGTGACCAACTGGAGAAGGGAGTGGTGACCACAAAAAGTCAGCCAGCGCTTCCTCAAGAGCAGCAGATCATGCCAGAAGAGCCTTGCTTCCTGTTCCAACAGGGTTATTAGTCAGGGGCATGTGGTCAATGTCATATACCTAGTGTTTAGCAAAACCATTTGGCCAAGTCTCTCAGGGTCTCATTGAAGACAAAATGGAGAGTAATATACTAGAGCATGGTGCATCCGGGCTCAATGACTGGACCCAATGGGAATCCCAGAATCTCAGGGTTGGACCTTAGGGACCTGTTAGTCCAAGCCCTGCCTGAAAATGAATCTCCCATATAACAAAACCAGCCTTTGCCTGAAGCCCTACCACGATGGGGAAGCCAGGCCCTCCCAAGGCAGCCCATTCTATATGGCGGCACTGCTTGCCATGAAGTTTTTCCTTATGCAGAACCTAGATTTGCCTCTTTGTCCTTGTTCTTCCTTTGAGGGCCAAGCAGAATCATAGAAATGGAGGAGAAAGTGACCTTAATGGCCACCTACTCTGACTCATACCTGAAAAGAATCCTCACTATAACATCCCAGGAAAACCAGGGTGAGTGGATAGAATGCTGAACTTGGAGTCAGGGAGACAAAAGTTCAAATCCGGCTTCAGATACTTATTTGATGTGATCCTGGGCAAGTTAAACTCTGTCTGCCTCAGTTTCCTCATCTGTAAAATAAGGAAGAGACTGCCTACCTCCCAGGGTTGTCCTGAGGATAAAATGAGATATCTGTGACAAGCTTTGCAAACTTCAAAGTGCTATATGAATGCTAGCTATCATCATTATCATCATCATCATTATTAATATTACTATTATAATTCTGACAAGTAGTCATCCATCTGCTTAAAGAGCAGCAGAAGAAATCTAATCCCCCGTAAGCTACTTAGAGATATCTAGCCTGTCTTCCTACCGATCCATGGTAAACAAACTTGATCATTTTTTGTATGGCAGGATCTCAAAGCCCTTTCCCTTCCTCCTCCTGTAGGCTCAAGCCAGCTTAGTGACATCTTTCCTAAAGTTTGACCCTGCACCATACTACACAGAGGGTCTGGCCAGGACAGAGAATGTGGGGATGGAGGAGCACCTCCCTAGGTCTGGACATTTTACTTTCCTTGATACAGCCCAAGATGGCAGAAGTCCTCCAGAAAGCCCTGTTCAGATGCCTCCCCGGCTTCTCCAAAGCTATGACAGACCAGAGCACAAGCCCAGGCAGGCTCTGCTATGCTGAAAAGGCCTCAGGTATGGTCCTAGCAAGCAACTGGGTCTGCTTCCTGAGATCAACCCGCCTAGGCTCCGAGAGGCTCATCACAAGTCTGCTGGTGATTCATTCTTTA